ACAGTCTAACTGTCATGTTGAATTATACAGGAACATCTAGAGATCATATAGATTCTATGGTTATTCAAATTTGATGATCAAGGTTGATTAAAACACCCTGTAAAATGACAACAGTTTAAACTACCATAAATGTTTCTGTTGAAATATAAGAGAAAAGTTTGAAATATATCAATATTAATTATGAAAGTACAAATGAGTTTATTTAGATGATTATATCCCTTTAAGATATCACAATGATTGAATCTTACCTTTTCAATAATCCTATAAATACATTCTACATCAGCAAATATAATTCTATCATTGGTCTTTAATTCATATCTTACTTCTGGTGTTAAAAATAACTACAAATACAAAACTCTGATATCACAAATACACTCAAAATCATATGCTTCATAGCACCTTTACATGATATTTTTAATATCACCAATCACCATGCAGTGTGCAATGACGTCTTGCCTTGACGGTGGCACTATTCCATTTTGATATACGAAGCCTGTAGGTAGCACAATGCAAAACATTGTTTGTCCCATTCAAACAACTTGACATTTTCCTACGTCAACTGATTTGATTTCTGATTTCAATATATCAGTTGGAGTAAAGAAAATGAATACATTATAATTTTTGAGTGATATAGTCATCTTAAACCACTGCAAGATTATTTATCAAAAGATATTATAAATCTGGTTAAGATGAGACAGGTATATGTATAAACAATTGAATACAATATTCTTGCGTATGTAACGATTCCATGGACCTTTCGTTTCTACTTACATTAGAAATATGACTAACACCAATGGATTAAATGTTTATTTCAGAAAGTTAGAGTAAATTTAAACGAACGCTATAATACATAATATCTGGTCTTATCAGTTGTATGAAGGGTTAACCGGTCTAATCAGTTGTATGAAGGGTTACCCGGTCTAATCAGTTGTATGAAGGGTTACCCAGTCTAATCAGTTGTATGAAGGGTTACCCAGTCTAATCAGGTGTATCAGTGGGTGTATGTAGAATCAGATGTATGTGTGTGTATGTAACATTGTCTAATCAGCTGTATGGCTGGGTATATGTTATCTTGTCTAATCAGCAGTATGGCTGGATATATGTTATCTTGTCTAACCAGCTGTATGGGTGGGTATATGTTATCTTGTCTAATCAGCTGTATGGGTGGGTATATGTTATCTTGTCTTATCAGCAGTATGGCTGGGTATATGTTATCTTGTCTAATCAGCTGTATGGCTGGGTATATGTTATCTTGTCTAATCAGCTGTATGGCTGGGTATATGTTATCTTGTCTAATCAGCTGTACCAGGGAAAATCAAATATGCCTCAGACTAAGAAACCTCTAATTGATATAGCAGTTCACAGAGGGATGCAGATATAGCAAACTGAATCAAAGAGGCTTCACCTGATCTAGGGAGTCATACCCTGCTTTATTTGCAACCTTTACCACTATGGAACCAGACGCTGAGTCCAGTAACAAAACCACATTACATATCTATTTAATTCTAAAATGTGTATTCAAAACAATGTTCCAGACTATTTAGTTTACCAGTCGATACAGATAGCTCAAATCAAACTCAAAGAATTCCATTATCTTCATCTATATTTTTCTGGGCTCCAACATCTGCAATTACGTAGAATATTAATACAAATGTACTGGTTAAATTATACACACATAACAAAATCTTACTGAATAGTGAATTGTCAAATACTCTAACCTAAATACATGAATATACACACTATTGGGGTTGACAGTTGATTTGACAGAAGATTTAAGTTGGTCAGGTGCAAAAAACATCTCATACATCTCGTTCTGAAGCTTTGTTCAGTAACATAGCTATAATGGTCAACACAAGTCTTTCATTGATATTTTCGACTCAAGTTATGGTAATAAAGGCCAAATACTCTACTTAAAAATTTGATTGGTTACAACTTCAAATAAAATATCAAGCCCAATAAAAAAAGTGTAAAATTATAAATTCAAATTTTAAACATTGCAGTTGATTTGGTAATAGAGTATTTCTCATAAAATATTTGATATCTAGGCCTACATCACAAAAATCAGAAAAAATTTCAAATTTGCCAAAGTCAAAATATATTCCTGTCGGTTCGTACGATTCTAGGAAACACCAAATACAAAATATGAAATTGAGTAAATGTTAAAATTTTTTGAAGACAAAACTTTAGAAGTGATTTTTGAAGCTCTATGATCTATAAAGTTTAGGAATAGTTATGTATGTTTGTTAAGGTTAAGTTGTAGTGATAGGCATCAGGGGGCGAGAGCCAACACTGGGCCGACTTTCGGAAGCAATTGCACAGGCATCATAATTGTTCTCACCTTGAAGAGGATCCAAACTCAAGGCACCTAATCACCAAGCAGACGACAATCCCACTCGCTAATGAGTTATTCCACTGCCACAATAAGACAGTGTTCAAACCCATCTTAGAGGATAGTATTGATGTTAACACATTTTGAAAGTTGTTAATCCTCAAGGAAATATTCATATAGCCTGGCACAGGCAATGATAGGCATCAGGGGGTGAGGGCCATCACCAAGTCGAATCTCGGAAGCACAATGGTGATTTACTGTCCAATAAGACCAAAATAGAATTTAAGGCGTATTATATGGCAAGTAAGTCAACTGGTAGTATCATGTTATCATACTTGATCATTATTTGCAAAATGAAATTTTATAAAAGTCAAAGGGCTTAATTTGCGACCAACAGTATGAAAATGTACTTGAAAACCTAGGTGTTATTAAGTAATTAGATGGAGAGACACTTGATTATTTCAAAATTTCCTCTTTCAAAAATGAAAATTATCCATATATCGAAGCTGTTTAACAATTAATACAATTAATGGGGCAGTCTGATCTTTAAGTAAGCTGTAATTTTTTTTCTCAATTTTATGACAAAAAGAAAATCTAGTGGAATGTCTCTTGTCTTTAAAGAGCAAAAAGTTTTAATATGTAATCAAGTAACAAGTTGTTATGTTTTCTGGTCACTAGTGTAAAGAATTTAGAAAAAAAAACTCCAAAATGTAGAGTATTATGTCTCCTAACTTATTCTGAAGGTTTCAGGTTTCAACCCAAAATACTGAACCATTATAAAGCCAAGCACCACAATCTGATTCCATATGCAGCCCCCACAAAAAGATAGTGACCTCTGCTCTATGCTTTTGTCAGATATTGATCACTTATTTATTACTCCATTGCAGTTTTTCATAAATTACGAGAGAGGGATTACTTGACACATTATTACAACTTCAGAAGAAAAATGACCCTCCTCCTTCGCCTACTCGATTTGGCTCAAAACCTTGTGGTGGTTCTGCGTGTCGTACCTGCGAACATGTACCTATTTCTCATTTCTTTAAAACAATAAAACCGGAAAAACTTTCTTAATGACTGACCAACTTTCATGAGGAGACCAAAATCTGATTTACCTAATTTCATGCGACATACAGTATATTGGAGAAACAAAGAACGCGCTGCAAACTAGTTTTAATGGCCATCGTTGCGATATAGTACATGGCAAAAACAGACCAATTTCCATTCACTTTAACCAACCCAACCATTCCATTGAAACTTGTTGATTATGCCAATTGAAAAGATACAACCTATGTCAAATATCAAGCCAAAGCAAAGAAGATTACAACGCTAGAGTTATTGGATGGACCAACTTCAAACTGTATATCCAAATGGTTTAAATATTCAACATACCAACCAGATAATACCCTTCGTTACCACTTACAATCATACTGCCACTAATGCCTCTCATATCATCAGACGCCACTACCAGACTCTTCAAGACCAATATCCTAATGTCTACAGCATGAGACTTGTTACAGCTTACAGAAGAAATAAAAATTTCATTAATATCCTAGTCCATGGTAGACTTAACCCTCAATAGACTTCAAATTTCTGACTATTCATATTAATGCTTTTTATTTTCTTATAGGAAAAGATTTTGTTTCACAATAATGGTTTTAATATAATATATAGTTATTATATTTTAGAAATCTTTTCAAGTATAATTTAAAAAGTTTATAATGAATAAAAAGTTTGCATACTGCCCCTTTATACTGTTTTTTTTTTGGTAATTCGAGGTTCACTGTAACTAAGTGAAGAGGAGTGGTTAACTAAATAGATTTAAAGATGGGTTCCCTTATTTTGATTTATGAATATGAAAATGCTAATACTTATATTAATAGAAAGTAGAGGTGCTCTTATGACTTGGAAAAATACCAGTTTGTTTCACATGTCCATAATGAATTCATAATTAGCTAAATTAGAAGAGAATTACCTGCAGAATTCCAATGAGTGACCAATCAAGAAAAGTCAAAAAGTCTTTTTTTGTTTATCCAGACTGTTCATACATGAACATTTATGATTGGTTAAAACTTTTGTCACGATATCAACATTCAATTACAGGTCAAGGTGAATTCAAACCAGAAGTCATGTAACCTACCACAATACATGTGGGTAATTGAAACCGGAACCCGTTGAATTTTTATCAATTTTTACAATATAAAGATCACTGCAACAAGGTAATAAATCGTAACATTAATCTCTATTTAACGTCCTACTTTTCTGCACCATTTGGGCAAATGAGAAGATATGCATGTAATGTCAACTAACTTATCAAATATTTCCTCATACATATATATATATGATGCAAGATCAAGCGTGAGACAAACAACCACAATATTAAATACTAACTTGTTCTAAAACTTTTTTGCTTTCTGCATAATCTGATAATATGTTACATGGATTCCATTATCATTGATATAGAATTTCACAACTTGATATTAAGTTGACAAACAAGTTACAGAGTGGCATTCAGCTCTGATATAGTGAATGCTGTAGTGGATCTCAAACATTGATTTTCTCCTTGTGATTGCATATATTCCATAGCCTTCTTCTTTTTTCAGGTTTTGAAGTGGACTTACTCAGGGACTTATATTGAATATATTGATCAAGATATCAACAGCTAACAGAAATCATGGCTGAAGCTACTGAAAATAGTGAGCTGCTGTTAAATTCATCTTCTACAGATATGGTTTTGGGTCCAAACTTGGACTTCAGGAGAACAGAGCAAATTCAATTTGACAACTCTCAGATACTTACCAATAATATAAGTCCATTGCCATCTCTAGCATTATTACAATCACAAATAGGCCTACCTCAAACTAAAGATTTCAAAGAGACAGGTTGTTCTGGGGTAGACCTTATAAAGATTATGAAAAGGTATAATCAATTCAGAGGATTAATAACTATACAAGAACTTAGACAAAAACTTAGATATAATCTTATTAATGTGGGAGGATACTTTGTTTCCATAAATAAAAACACCCCAGGACATATTGTGGGAGTCATGGTCTTACCAAATTATGTAATAGAATATTTTGATTCCGCAGGAAATGAACCAGCAGACTTAAATCCTGAATCAAATTACGAAGTTATTTATAATACAGTAAAATTACAAAATGATGGGAATATGACCTGTGGTCTGCATGCATGGTTTTTTCTGACTTTAAGGTTCCAAGACATTAGCATGGATGATATAATAAAATTATACCCTAGTCAATGTGATGATTTGACACTGGAAGATAATGACACCTTTGTCAATGACAAAATGAATGAAGACATAATAAAATGGCTATATTGGAGAAACAATCCAGCAACATAGAAGAACTTGTAGAAGTAATCTGGCTAAACACAAATGGGACACTTTTATTATTTTTCACAACTTTTTCTGTGATGTTATTGCAATAAGTTATCATAGAAACATTATAATTAATGTGTAATGAAAACTTTGATACTTTCAGTGCATTTTCTGTGATATTAACTGCTACCAGTCACTGTTAATATCTATCTACATTATAATAAACTAAAGTGCTATATAAAAGGATTTACAGTTTTATTTTTTTGAATTTATACTGCCAGTTTAGTGCCATATAACTCTTCACTGTGATTTTGGATACTTTCTGAGGATCAGAAATGGTGTAAAATGATGAAAATAAAGATTATTATTATATTACCATTTATCCAATTGGATATTGTTTTCAACCAAAGTGGCCAGTATACCCTGTCTGTGTTGTGGTCTGTAGAACAGAAGATTATAGAACATTATAGTGCTGCTTATTTATCCAGGATTTTAATTTTCCTGTGACTAAACATTGGCAGACCATTCTGTCGTCATTTTCATTATCTCAAATGGTTACAGAGACAACGAGAAAAACTAATATTTCAGCTACTATACTAGATCATCTGTACACTAATGTATCAAATAATATTCAAGAAATTAAAATACCTCCATACAGTCTAAGTGATCATTTTCCTGTAGTTTTCTCATTGAAGAATATTCAAAACTGTAAAAACTCTAAAAATAGGCACACACTAATTCGATATAGAAAATATAAAAGTTTCTAAACGATTTGATAAATTACATCAATGACAAAATTCCTCATGATTTCTTATTTAATTTACCCCTTATCACAGTCTAAGAAATACTAAGATATCTCAAAACCTTGAACCCAAAATGTCACGGGTTAGACAGTCTAGGCCCAAAAATTTTTAAAATGTCAGCCGAGGTTATTTCAGGTTCACTTACTCATATTATAAATTTATGTCTAACTAATTGTATTTTTCCAGATAGTTTAAAAGAAGCTAAAATAGTGCCAATATATAAAAAAAGGTCCCAAAGAAATTATTTCAAATTACAGAACAATTTCCTTTTTACCTACCATTTCTAAGATCTTCGAAAAACATATATCCACCAACATTAAGTCTTTCTTCCAAAATTTCAATTCATTTATGTTAACCAGTCGGGTTTTAGAGAGAACCATTCTTGTTCTACAGCACTAGTTAGAATCATAGATAACTGGCTTGAAGCTTTAAACCAAGGTACATTGACAGGTGTTGTCTACCTGGATTTTAGCAAACCTTTCGATCTTATAGACCACCAGCTCCTTCTTGATAAACTTACTTCATATAAATTTCACCTTTATTTGTTATATTTTATTAAATCGTATTTATCAAACCATACCCAAAAAGTTTGTCTTGGTAATTTTCAATCAATACATAGAACAATAAAAAGTGGTGTTCCTCAAGGATCCATCCTTGGACCACTTTTATTTTTTATTTTCATTAATGATCTTCCCCTTTTTATAAAGAATTCTACTTCTGAAATATTTGCTGACGATACTACCATATAATATTCTGGTGAAAAACTTGGCTGCATTCAGAGTTGTCTTCGGGAGGACTTAGACATTATCAGCCAATGGTGCCATGATAACGGTATGGTAATTAACACAAAGAAAACTAAAAGTATGTCAATAAAAAACGTAAGAGACAGTGATAAAAGTCTTTCTCTGTCCATTGGTAACCAGAAGTTAGACAATGTATTCAAAGCTGACTTACTCGGAATTACAATAGATGATCACTTAGACTGGGGAAAACATTTAACAAAGCTTCACTCGTTTGTGTCATCAAAAATATATCTTCTCAATAGAATTAAAATAAATCTACCAGTAGAAACCCGAATATTATTTTAGAATGCCTATATATTATCACATTTAAATTATTGTAATATTGAGTGGGGTAATGCTTTACAGAATAAACTTGACTTCCTATTTAAGCTATAGAAAAGGGCAGAGCGCAGTATCCTTGCCGCGAAATATGATGCAAGATTGGCAGACTAACTCTTGAACAACAAATTAAATATAACACTGGGATACTGACTAACAAAATAATGAACGGAAAATGTCCTCATTACTTTCAAAATTATTTTAGGTGACGATCTTCAATTTCTACCACAACTCTCTGTCTACTACGTTCGGAATAAAAAAAATTCATTACATTTACCCAAGTGCCGGATTGAGGCCATGAAAAGGATATTTAAATACAAGGCTAATTTACTCTGGAATTCATTACCTCAAGTACTTAAACAATCCAACAGTGTAGAATGTTTTAAAACAGGACTAAAAGAGAACTATGATAATAAGAGAGACTAGAATTATTTTTGTAAAGATGAATATTACATTTTTGTAAACTTTCAGGAATACAAGTGCCTATAATCAAAGTCAATAATTTGAAATGATAATAAAATTTATCCTACAAATGTTTAAATAATTTGTCTCCGAAGAATATATCGGATCTGTTGACTTTAGATAATAATCTGTATTGTACAAGATCCTGCATGTGTCTTAATCTTCGTCTACTGGTACCAACAAGGATCATGGATATGGAACAATTTATTTGAACAGTTAAAAATCTGTGACTCTTTTCAGAGAAAGTTAAAAATACATCTTTTTAGAAGAACCTTTCAATAGTAATCTTAATTCTATCGTTGGTTATTCAAAATAAATCCAAAGAGGCATAATTCTCTCATAATTATAACATTATCATTTCTTCTGTTTTATTCCTATCATATATTACCAAATTATTCAGTTTTATGTGTATCATAGTATTATCATTCCTTCAGTTTTATTAATATCATATATTATAACATTATCACTCCTTCAGTTTTATTAATATCATATATTATAACATTATAATTCCTTCAGTTTTATTAATATCATATAATATAACCTTATCATTCCTTCAGTTTTATTAATATCATATATTATAACATTATCATTCCTTTAGTTTTATTAATATCATATATTAGAACATTATCATTCCTTCAGTTTTATTAATATCATATATTATAACATTATAATTCCTTCAGTTTTATTAATATCATATATTATAACATTATCACTCCTTCAGTTTTATTAATATCATATATTATAACATTATCATTCCTTCAGTTTTATTAATATCATATATTAGAACATTATCATTCCTTCAGTTTTATTAATATCATATATTATAACATTATAATTCCTTCAGTTTTATTAATATCATATATTATAACATTATCATTCCTTTAGTTTTATTAATATCATATATTATAACATTATAATTCCTTCAGTTTTATTAATATCATATATTATAACATTATCATTCCTTTAGTTTTATTAATATCATATATTATAACATTATCATTCCTTCAGTTTTATTAATATCATATATTATAACATTATCATTCCTTCAGTTTTATTAATATCATATATTATAACATTATCATTCCTTCAGTTTTATTAATATCATATATTATAACATTATCATTCCTTTAGTTTTATTAATATCATATATTATAACATTATCATTCCTTCAGTTTTATTAATATCATATATTATAACATTATCATTCCTTCAGTTTTATTAATATCATATATTAGAACATTATCATTCCTTCAGTTTTATTAATATCATATAGCATAACATTATCATTCCTTCAGTTTTATTAATATCATATATTAGAACATTATCATTCCTTCAGTTTTATTAATATCATATATTATAACATTATCATTCCTTCAGTTTTATTAATATCATATATTATAACATTATCATTCCTTCAGTTTTATTAATATCATATATTATAACATTATCATTCCTTCAGTTTTATTAATATCATATATTATAACATTATCATTCCTTCAGTTTTATTAATATCATATATTATAACATTATCATTCCTTCAGTTTTATTAATATCATATATTAGAACATTATCATTCCTTTAGTTTTATTAATATCATATACTATAACATTATTATTACTCCTATCACAAGTTTAACATTATAATTCTTCTATTATATGTCAAAGTATTATGTATTAAAATGAACTTAATAATTGAGAGAACAAATCATGTACAACGGGGTGTAAGTGGAACAGGCCTCAGGAAATATTTTGTTCAACAGCAAGTAACCTAGTACTGACATGATAGACCAAGTTCTGAGAACTGTTAACAGAGGCATTTGCCTTGAAGTCTCAGTACACTCCCAGGTCCAAAAAGTATTTCAATATATCAATCCTTTAAAAATAAACAAGTTTTCCACTTTTTTCTGAACTATTAAATCTTCAATCCGCTTTATTTGAGCTTTGAATGCTGATTTTCTATAATTAGATAGAAAATAGGCATGCAAAATTTTGAAATACAAAATCATATCAAAGCAAGGATTCAACCATGAAAGAATCAAGTAAAGAGATTTAAAATATCACTGATTTTAAAAATGTATGCACTTCTAGTCAAGCACTCAAAAGTCTTTTCTTTCACAGATCTACATGAGCTAAACTTTCCAAAAGTAATAACATTTAAATTTATCAAATATCTTAAAACAGTAATAGTAAACCCTAAAAAAATCAAAGTATTGAAAAACTTACCTGATCAAGAGGTAACATTTCAAATTCATCACCAAGGAGAAAACATTCTGATCAATGTGTTTCTTCAAGAAGAAGAAGTGAACTCTGGGATGTCTGCAGTCACTATGAATATACAATACAGGTGTTGAGGTCTCTACCCAGGACTTTTTTCAACTCACCGTCAAACAATATAGTGTTGAGGTCTTTACCCAGGACTTATTTCAGCTCACCCTTAAGCTGTGAATATTACCCCTTTCCTAAACAGACAATTCTGTATATCTCTGAACTGAATTAATTCTTGATCAGAGATTTGACAAGGAAAGTTAAGAAAGTTAATCCACACAAATTTAGTACAGATTTCTATATGCTCCTGAATACAGTTCATCATAAACCTTGTGTTTGTAACTGATGACTGGGGATTAATCAACTCAAATAGATACTAACAGACAGTGGAATATTTGGTGGGTTTAAAAAACTCTTCCCCAAACTTACTACAAAGGTCTTTTACAAAAATGAGATATCTAAAATAGTGCTAGCGCGAAATATCGGCGAATCGATGTATGGCGATACGACATGCTGGGATACATGTATCGTATCACAACGTCGTATATTGATACTTGGCGATACCTTTTATTCCATAAAAAAAGTGCGGATTGTTTTATGATATAACAATTTTTTTCACTGAAATTGTTAGAAACTTTGTGTAAGACAGTAGACACTAACCACTTCTATCAACTATATCACCAAATATACGTGTTATTAAGTTATAAATTAATAAATATTGAAACTTTAAAGATATATTGATAATTTTTATCCCATTACTCCATATCGTATCGTATTGTGACATGACTGAGGATACCCAGCACTAGTCTAAAACATTCCAAAGAAAAATATACCAATCAATATCTTTATTAGGGCGATATATATACATTACCAGTATATTTTCTTATTAAAGGAATACTTTAATCAAAATCTAAAATATAAGCTGATTTCAACAATTCTTTTGATGAAGTTTGGTAAAAACTAAATAAGGAAGTTATCAGGTCAATTTTAGATATTTTGATAAATAAAGAAGCAAATTGTGGCTAAGATGCCTTTATCACCCAAAATCACTCAAGTTTAAGATTAAAGTATACTTACCTTCCCCCTACGTGTTTTATTTAAACTCTTCTTATCATAAATAAAATGACTGTCACTCTTTATTTCTATACAGGAATGCTGTTTAGATAAAGCCTATAATGCAATTTAAGTCAAAATCAGTAACTCTATCAGAACAATTTTTATATCATTGCCTGTATAGATCATTGTCAAATGTTGTATTCATGAAGTACTAATAATTGTTATTTACATATTAATTGTGCCTTATTATTCAATCTTCAATTACTAAATGCTATGTAAAGATGCCGTTGAAAACAGTTTATGCTTGAGTTCAATAAGGGGATATGTTTGAGTTGTTTCTCAATCAGGAGAGAATACTCTTTTTATTTATTCATATATTTTCAAATACAAAAGTGATGTGTTTCATCAATGTTTGTCTCACAAAGAGTTTATTGTAAGAGTGCATCTGCGGCCATCAAGGAACAATCTAATTCTTGCAAAGTGAACAGAGTAACTTACCTTGGTGGGAATACAAATGTCACAAGTTTCTTGTCGACCTATTATATTTTCTCCTGGAATATAAAATAATATCAAGAGGCTGATGATATGAATGATATAACCCCAAAATCTCCAAAAGGAATGCAGAGTAGACAAACCCTATCAATCAGTGGTATCAAATATTTTAATTGTTGAGCATACCTTGCAAAAAAAAAAAACATGCAACAAATGCTGTGCAGTTCACTGTATCAGAGTTGGAACTTCCATTTCCAAAACTAGCTTTTCTGATGAGGATCTTATATCTGAAACATGTGAAGACCGCAAAAGAGCTTTTAAATTTAAATTACTGACCTTCAAAAAGTGGATATTCTTTTTCCTCTAAATCTTTATATTTTAAAACTGTAAGAAATGCCACCTGAAAAACATACAAATTTTATCAAAACGATAAATGCTAAATGAACTTTATTGTAATTGCTTATAAACTAGTCATTTTCATAAAATCTTTTTAAAACTGGACAAATTTCCTTTGTTTCATCAGATTGAGATTTTTATAAAATTTACCTACAAGAACAAAGGTTGAAAACTATCATTTTGTAAATTAATCTTACAGTTTTTTCAGCAGTTTTCTCAGTGTTGTCTTCTGAGTCATCTTCAAAAGAATAACTAATAGCTTGAGTTTGGTCAAAATCCATTTTATCCAAATTTCAATTTGAACTGATTCACTTTCAAACAGATATTTATCTTTATCCTGGAATGAAATGTACTTATATTTTGATCAATCAGTCCATCATAACATCAGTCAGTCCAACATAACAATAAAAATTAGTCTACATCATTCAAACACTATTGCCATCCAACTTCACTACCTACTCAACTGCTGGCCGATATTTGTTGAGGGTGAATAAAGAGGTAATAACATGCTCTACTCTCTGACTACACTGCTTTCTAAGGTGCAGAAGAGTAGGACGTAAAACTCCATTCATTTCATTTACACTGCTTTCTGAATAGAATTTTGGCCATCTTTTTCACAGAAACTGAAATATCAATTACTACTGAGTCTTGGATTGCCTTTGGGTTGATGAAAATGTCAACCCCTGGAAAAATCATTATTTGTTAACATGTTTTTTTGGAGGGGAATTTTCAGTCTGAAAAGTAGGTTATTTTCACGGGAAATGTTTTGGATGTATTCAGACAGTAGTACATATTCCAAACAATAATCTGTCACCTCCCCTCCATTTTGCAGCAGGAATATTTACACCAAATTACACAACAATCCTGGATCTGGTGAAGCTTCAAGCAGTCATAATTGATGTCTACTTTCATTTTATTTTTGACACTAAACTGTGATAATGAGCTGAAAGGGGTGTCTCAGTTATTTTACCTGTTGATTCCCCGCTAGGCTTATAGCTCCATTGCAGTGTTATGACTAGATAGAAGCTAACCTATCCTACACATCTTTTTTAGTTAAATCAAGGGAGATTGTTTCTATTGATTATTTTTAGTACCTGAGTAAACAGCAATGTATCTACGTCTTCATAGGTCGAGGTCTTCCCGCAATCTGAACTGCGCTTGCGCATCTTCATCTCGTTCTATAAATAAGACGAGAATTTGCGAGATTCTATCTGCAAGGTGCGATAACTCTGTATTTCCCTTACGAGGAAAGAAAAAGAACATTTTTCTGCAAAATTATAAAATTTAGATGTTGATTTAATAAGATGGGAGTTACAATTGAAGAGCTTAGTCCAGGAGATGGTAAGCATTCAAATAAACTGTTTCGTTTCGATTGGATTTTTGAAGAAAGCAAAAAATCGTTGAGAAAGATGCAATAAGAAATTGAATATCTGATCATGTAATTTTATATTAAAAGTTCAGTGTGACACTGACATTGTAAATGATTCAATGGTTTTTAGTATAACTCTGTGATAATTTCAGGAAGGACATTTCCGAAGAAAGGTCAGCTTGTCGTTGTGCATTACACAGGTAAAATTTACTATTGCACAATAACAAATTCGATAAATCTCACATTAATGAACAGAATACAAATTTTGTAATGTTGTAATTAATGTAACATTGCATAAATAAAGCAGGAAACGATTCAACAGTGTATTAAACACTTAAGTTAACTAAACTGCAAATAGAAATTATTATCTAGATTTCTGGTTAGATAAAATAATATTGTCAGTTAGAGAGGCCTTAAGGATATCTTTGTTTTGCCTATGTCTCAGTTTCTTACTGCAAACTGTGACAATATATATATTTTTCTTATTTTTATTCATGAATGTTTCTTCGCATTTATAACAGGAACATTAGACAATGGGGATGTATTTGACTCTTCAAGAGATAGAGGGGTACCATTTAAATTTCATTTAGGAAAAGGAGAAGTAATAAAAGGTATTGTTGATTATTTTAACGGGTCACTTTCCTAAACAGATAAATAGATCACTAATATATACACCTTTTCATATCCTACCCTTTTCAAATTCTTTATGAATAATGTATGAATTTATATGATCATGGCATCTTGTTTTGTGATTTTCATGAAATTTTGTATTTTGCAGGTTGGGAAGAAGGTATAGCAAAAGTACGTATTTATTTCACATATTATCTGATTAATTTCACATTTCCACCAGCATCAATGCATTTTTGTTTTTGCAGATTACCACCTTTTACACAACAAGGTTCCTTAATTGAAGTTCTGAAAAGCTTGCACCAACAACTTTGATACAAATATTTGAAGATAACAGATATTCCTGACTTGATGGTCAATGTTTTCATGAGTCTGCATAGGGCTGGCTCTCATTCCTTACATTCATTCATTCATTACTATATTCACATATAGTTAATCAGAGTTTAAATTTATTTTTCAGATGAGTGTTGGTCAGAGAGCAAGGTTAACATGTTCACCAGATTATGCTTATGGTAATAGAGGTCACCCTGGTGTATATCCTTTTTCAATCAATAATCAATTGTTATTATCGGTTTGTCATTTGGTAGAACAAGAGCCCTGGTTTCCAACTTATACCCCCTGGGTAACAAGGGAACACCTATGTCATAAAATAATTCATAAAATTCCTTTGAAGTATTGAATCGTTTCATTGCACTATGGTACTTATGGTACTTATTGTCGCATGAAGGTGCAAAGAGCCTGAAAGCACAAGGGTGTAAATGAAAGAATATTTTTCGCAATATTTGGCTCCTTTATTTGTATGTTAGTTCACACTATTGACACTTTTTAAGCAGCTTGCAGATTATAATATAGATTTTCCTTAACTAGTCTTACTATTCCACCAAAAGCTACATTAAGGTTTGATGTAGAGTTATTACGATTAGAATAAAGAAAACAAAGATTTATATTTATATGATGAATGTATGTGAGTGTTTTCATGTGAACAATAATAACTGAACAGTTATGAAGTGATGAACAGTTGAATATGATGAAAGAAATAACGGGATTGTTCACAGTCTTGGAATTCTTCTATTCACAGGAATAAAGATGTGTTTACAGTACATGTGTGGACTCTTGTGGTTTAGTTTTTTCCTTGAGACATTTGACAGTTTACAGGCCTAGAGTAGTGTCTTGTCACCCACAAAACATTGTTCAAAAAATGTCTAATTGAAAAAAAAATAAATCAACAGTCTTGTTTTACTCACTCCAAGGAATTTATTGTTTGACTTGAAATAGGTCAGCATTAAATGGATTTATCTTTTGGAAAATATCAGTTTAAAGATTAAATGGAGTTAACAGAAATTTTTACGTGTTTAATTGTTTCCTGTTACTGATTACATAATATGTTGTGTGATTCCATAGTTCAGTCCATGAGCCTTGGTAATTGCTGTGGACATTGTGAGATAGAATATTATCCTACAGCAAAATTCAACATTGATTGTTGGATATTAATGCATTGTGTGTCAGGTGTATTCAAAAGCAAGGTGATAATTGTGTTGTCTGTCACCATCTTTACTGCAGTTGGATTTGTCTGCTGAGAAATTTATATGTATGGTTAAAATGAATACCAGTTCTGTGTTTTATATTTTTTCTTTTAACTGTTTTCTATATTCATTTTATGAAATTCAGTCGGGTTTGTTTTTAGAATTAAGGTGATTTGATTGGTTGTTTACTATCACATTTGTCAAAGAAATGAAATCATGAAATCCATGCAATTTTGTAATAAGAATATGTTTTAATGATATTTGCTCTCAAATGTGTTTTTATTTGCATTTAAGTGTAATAGAAATATATGGTTCTTTTAGGAAATACCGATTCAGCTGCGATATGATTAAGATTTGATTGTTGAACATAAGTTATAAAGCATTTCACAATCTAACTTCTTCAGATCTGAGAATGGGTGAAGTGAATGTAGAAATTGAGGGACAAAATATCTGGAGATGCTTTTTAATTGGATTGCCGGAAGATCCCCATGAGATGTGTTCTGATTTTACTGTTAATGTAACATTTTATTAGCCATCAAAAAAACAGCGCAAGGAAAGTATCCTTAGAACACAAGTAGTTCCTATGACATAGGACCCATTCAAACTAGATATTATTTGAAATTACTATGTAATGAATAATAAAATGTTATAAGTATTAACATAGTTTTCTTTTTAATTTTAAACAGCTGATTCCCAGTCGAAGTGAAGTCACCTGCAAAAAAAATACTAAACATGACTACTAGATTAACATTTGAATCATATCCGTTACAAAACATCATTAATCCAAATGATTTAGAGTGTATGTCTAGAACTCGAAGTCATTTTTAGTTGGACAGACGAAGGCAATGAAGTTATTAAAGGGATTGTAAAGAGGTTTTCAAAATTTTGTATGTATATCAAGAACATTGTCAGCATCAATATTCGCCATTCCAATTTTCAATCTGTCTTTCCTGCAATTCCACTACAACTAAGTGTTTGATGACGTCACTAATCAAAAAGTATGTTTCATCACATATGGAAAACGCTTAGTTTTAGTGCAATTGCAGGAACTACAGAAGTCTGACTGAAAATTGGAATGGCCCAAATTGATGCTTATAGTGTCCCAGATACACATGAAAAATTTACAAAACCTCTAACATCAGCTCAACTTAAAAGATATGATTTATTTTTCTTAGAATTAAATTTCTGTACACCCATTCCAATGAAATGATTCAATTATTCCCAGTCAATGAATGATTTCAATAGAGATGTCAGACCACAAACAACTATACATAAAGTTACGTCCCTTGAATAGCGGCGCCAGTGTTGCGTGGCAGTACATCTTCATCACTTGCCGGCTCATATTCCATCGTTTCTGTCTGCTGTGATCTTTTTCGCTTTGTTCGGCAGACAAGAGACTCAAGATGGATCCACAAACTTTCATGGAAGTCGCCACAGTTGTGACGAAACTGAAAATGTATCCATATTTCGACATAGCACATTATTTATTGATGTGTATTTCAGTGCGAGATGATATGCCCCAACCTCAAGGTGAGTTCTGATGTTACCTTTTTCTTACTATACATTACGAATAGCTTATCATCACTCAGACTCTACTAGTCGTTGAGCTAAAAATAAATAATAATGCCAATGGTATGAGTACTAATACATGTAAATTGGTGTAGTAAGAAAAAGATAGAGATAAGACTATGGTACCAGTAGTCTAATAATGCACAATGTAATTAACTCTGTTGCACATAGTTGCACTTTGTATTATAATTATACCAATATGCTTCTTGATTGTAAACAATATTTTATTTTGTATAACAATGTTTGATACACCTTCTGATATATAGACATAATTCTGTTATAAACCCAATGTCAAGCCATAATCCCATATGTTTCTCCTAAAAGCTATAAGTTTTCAAAATGAATTGCTGTTAATGTCTGTTTAAATAAAGATATTTGTTTAAGTGTAATAACAGTTAGCAGTGTTGGCAGTATTTCTGATGCTGATGATAATTAACATATCACATAATAATTATTCTGTAATATTTGCACTGTTTTAAATATTTTTTCATGCCTTGTCTGGGACAGTGTAAGATAAAAAAATAATAGGTCACATGATTTAGTTAGTTTCCAGAATTGCTGCGAGGCATATATTTATAAAATCTGTGATTCAAATATGAAGACATAGATTGATTTCTATAAGAAGAAATGTAATGAGATGCTGTAATTTATAAACTTATTTTAACGTTCCATAAGCAGTCTATCTTGTAAAGAATATTGAATGAATATACGATCAAAGCCAGGAAAGATTATCTTTTTGAAACACATTATGAGGTCGAAATCAATCAAGGAATATTTTAAATTTATCATTTTTATGATAACTTGTACAAAATCATTCTCAGCAATGTTCAAGTTCACAAAAAGAGATTCATACAAATGCGACGCCATTGTAAAAAGAATAACATATAATTTACCAAGGTATTTTCCTTTAACAAAATCGGATGCACTAAGGGTTGTTACAAAAATCTTATAAGAAAATCCGGGTCACAATGCTGTATTGATATTGAATAGGAAATACAAGATTGATATTTGAACATCTGATGATATGATTCTATGATATTGATTATATGATACCAGTAACATAATAACATAGCAGGTTTAAATATAATGAGATCTCGCCTCAAACATCAGGAACTAATTATATCTATTATATACTGTATTAGTCTCTTTTTGATAATGGAAATGGATTTTTCCAGTAGATCTATAATTGATTTTGCTATTAACGAAATTACTGTTATAATAAAATTTCTGGTGAAGAACAAACATAGGTTCAATCCTTGCATGTCTAATTACTTAATAATAGAAAGAATATCAACCATAAGCAGTAGGCTTAATAATAAAGTAAAAACTGAAATTGAATGAAACACTATATTATTAGCCTATATATTGTTCAGTGGACTTGTTTAGTATTATTAGTCATTGTAATACAACAGAAATAGTACAAAGTTATTAATTGAAAAGCTTTAAATTTCCATTAAGTAATGTATGCCTACTTATTGGCCAAGTTAAATAATTTGATATTATATTCCTTTCTAAGAGGGTATCTTTATTTTATGTCCTTTTTTTTCTTCAATTCAGCTACTGGACAAGGGACACCACCCTTCTGGAGAAAACATCCTCTATCAACGTGGGTCTCTTCAATGTTGATATGTTTTGCTGGAGGTATTATAGCTAACTTACTACTGGGTGAACCGTTAATAGCACCTTTGAAAGATCATCGTAGCATTTTAACTGCTACTATTGTTTGGTAAGTTTTCGGAACTTCTATGTCTAAGTCCTAAGACCCCTCTTCAAAAAATTATCTTTTTGTAAATTGAAACCATTCTCATTATTCTCTTTTATAGTAAAGTAATAGTTTATAAATGCTGACTCATGCAGATTGGCATTCATCCGAACATGTGTTTGAGATGTCCATTTATGCACGGTTCACTTTAACTGTACTTGGACTTCTTATGAGCTTATTTATCTAACCTAAATATGTATATGAATCATATACACTTAAATCTACTGGAAAATACCATCTTTTAAATGAAAAAAGTAGATTACATAAATTATGTATATAGTCTTTGAATGACATTTAAAAATATTCAATAGGAGTGCTATAGAAAAATCTGATGTTTTTTTTTATGTATAACATTTCTTTTGATTTGAATCTTAATTTAAAATGATAAAAAATGAAAGAATATTTTTAGAAAGATGTTTAAAAGATCAATCTTCTGTTATTTGTTTATGAATACTTATGAAGGTCAAAGTAAAGTATTAATAACTGTAAAAGCTGTTAGAATAAGATGATATTATTAAATTAGAATCCCCATGATGCTATCATCTGTATAACAGACATAGGGGTAGAATAACCTTCTCTTGTTTTTTGTTGATTTTATGTTCTTTCTTTTTAACCTGTGTTTGCTCAACTGGAGTTTCATTGTTAAAATTATTTTGTTAAACGAAAATAAACTAGGTTGGAATTATTGCATGAGTTATATTTCTCAAAGTGAATGGATTTCCTCCCTTTGTTCAACTGGGTTAGTTATATGGTCTCATTTAGCGCTTTATGGCCTCATCGACGGATAATATTACCACATTTTTTCATTTTTCTTAACTGCGCATGGGTAAACAGAAGTGCCAGCAAAATAACGAAAAGAAAACTAAACTGGTTCACGGCTAAATATCCACTGCGTAAAATTATTTATAATTAATTCCAAGTGATCGTCCATTGACCTGGGTTGCAGAATGGTTATAGATAAAGAAAGTGCACTGAAATTATTAAAGAGATGGAGAATCCATTCACAAATAAACAGTACGCAGAAATATTGATGTGTTAAATAGCCCATTAAGTTTAAGAAAATTTGATGTTATTATTTTTTTATTTACATATGTATTTATTTCAGGTATTTTGTATTTTATTCCCCATTTGACCTGGTCTATAAACTCACCAAGTTATTACCTTTCAAGGTACCTATTTCAATGTTAAAAGAGTGTCAGAGAGCACATAAAGTCTACCATGCTGTGATCCACACAGCTAAAATCTACCCCAATTCTTACCTAGTTATTATACTGATTGGAACCATTAAAGGTAGGTAGTCTGGTGTTTAAACCGTGGTTCACTTTAACCAACTCGTTCGTGAGGTGGCAGATTTTTCATAGCAGCCCATTCTCATATGATATGCATGAGTTTTGTGGATGTGTTCACTATTTACAAAACAAAGCAAAAAAAATCACTGACAGTTATAGTTGACAGTCTTGTATTATATATGTTTTATAACATTTGTCAATTTGTTTATTTAGGTGCTGGCAGTGGTTTGATGAAGAATTTTGAAAGATTGGTGAGAGGTGTTTGGGTCCCAGGATCTAATGAAATCTTACAACCAACATAGTAAGTATATCCCTTCATTTCAACATAGTTTCTTGTTAGCTTAAACTTTCAATTTGCAAAGTTTTCGTCTTTTCATACCATAAATTGCTTTGCAATACTTTGCTATATTGCTAGTGTGAATTATACAAAACATAAAGAACTGCAGCCCATTTTGTATTGGGTAGAATAAATGATAATTGAACACACCCCAGGCTAGATTGTTGGCAACATGTTATTTAAAATATTATCTCTTAGACTTGGACATGATATTTAATGATCTTGCAGACAAATTTACTGACTATATTAGCAAAAAAGTAAATGTATATCATATACTGCAAGAAGAAACTTTATATCAAACCCAAAGAGCTTTTTCAGTGTGAGAACTGAGGATATTGCACCTATTTGTATTTCTAAGTTAACCAACATATTGATTGGCCCCACAAAACCTGTTTGAGACTCAAAAACTAACATAAAGATTTATCAATTTCAGTGCAAGTAAAGCTGTTTGTTTGTCTGCTATAGTGTTTTTACTGGAAAGATTAAACTATATCACAGTACCACATCCTGTTGTTTACTTCGGTGTTGTTATATTCTTTGTTTATTTCAAACTTTCCTCAATTATCCTGGGAATCCATGATCCTTTTGCACCATTCGAGAACCTGTTCTGTGCTGTTTTTATGGGAGGAATGTGGGATGCCATGAAGAGAGCTGCTAATCGTGAACCCAAGAAAGAAGAAAAAGAAGGAGACATTAGAAATGATGTCATGACAAAGAGCAAAGAAGAAAAGAAAAAGGATTAAACTTCAAAGTTAAAGTCAAAGTTTATTGCATTCAAACCTGATCTGATTAACATATCTCCTGACCTAAAGGTCATAGGTCATGATGAATACAATTATTTTCTAAGATTTAAGAAAGAAAGGAATTGCCTTATTGATGTTGACATTGGTTGTAAACATAAGGCCCATATTTAGTTTTTCGAATTTAAGTGCTGGTTAGATTAATAGTGTACAATTAGAATAGTGTTCACTCTTGCACCTTCTACCAATGTAAAAGCGAATTAAATATGGGCCTTAGAAAGAAAAAATATTTTGAAAAGCCATGCCCTGAAAAATAAATTCGAGTGTTGTGCTTTCATTGCGGTCTTCCTTGTATTAATTGTGACTTAAACTGAAGTTTTAATTTAACTGCCTTAAAATCAAAATGATGTACCCAGTACTTAGCTAAAAGCATTAAATAATTTTATTATTACCAGTCATATCTTAGACTGTAGTTAGACGAAAGAGTCCCAGTACCAGGGCTGTTGATTTGGCAGTATTTGCCAGACATGGTGGCCTAGATGTGATTACTCTATTGAATGCCTTTCCTCTGAATAACAAGATGATATGCCTGTCAATCAGTTGTAGAGAATATGAGTGTTATATCATTCCCTAGTGTCAATGTAATGCTGCTTGTTTTTTCTAGCACAGAAAAATTCCCATCCTGTGGTCATTGTACCTAAAACTTTAAGTCTTTATCATTCATGTAGCAGAGTATAGTCATTGTTATTTATTACATTAGTTAGATGATATATTAGTTTTATTAGTTCATTAGTTAGATATTAGTATTATTCATAGAGAGGTTATTTATGACCTAAGGCCTTTAAAACCACTGTTCTACTTTAAACCAAAATCACTCTACGTGTATTGTCTATAAAATTTGTGTATGAATCTAGAGTTTGTGTTTATTAAAGTCACGTGTACCTTGTATGTATGTGTTTGGTGATGGATTGTATTTTATATTTAATGTTTATAAACTGTGCAAAAACTACGCAAATTATAAAGTTTGTATGTATGTTTATGTGTTCTAATTATCCAATTGTTTTGTTGTGTCTATGTGATTAAATGTGTTTGTATAAATGCTTATAGGATGAGCAAAGATATTTGTACATTACTAAGAGTTAGTCTATTTTGTTTTGTAATTGAAACTACATAATTCATATTTATGCTGTGTTCATTATTACTAAAATAATATGGACTGCTTGTGTTTATGTTTTGATTCATAGGTAGATGTGCACAAATATTTTTACTTAAATGTATTTGTTGTTTTGTTATTGTCAAAGTTTTAGAAATGTGTATAAACTACACAATTTATAAGATTGAAAGGTTTTATGAGTTTTAATATTCAGATGTATTCCTGTTCACTTTTCTTAAACTGTGCATTATCTACGCATTGGTTAAAATCCCTTGTTTGAGAAAAAGTCCTTATATTGATGTGTTCCTTTGTTTTTTGTTTTGTGTGCCTGAGATAGCACTCCTTTTTAATTTCTTTTTTATGTTATAATAATCACAAGCTAGATGCCTTTAGAACTTTCAGACAATCCTGATGATTTTGAATATATTTTTTTTCGTCACTTTTAATTCAATACCTCTAATTTTTGTATCAGCATTGTTTTTTTTGTATGTGGTATAAGTACTATGAAACCTAGGGCATTTTGAGAATTTAAATTTTGATAGTATCTTACATTGTAAAAATAAAGAGTATTTTAATTCTTATAGGCATGGGAGCCCAAAATTGTGGAAAGCAATTATAACTTCCTGAAATATCCATTTTTGGTACTCAGAAAAGTATGAACATTTTAACCGGAATTTTTCTCATTGCTGCCAGACAAGATCTCCCTTGCTTACATTAACTTTGTAACTTACAGTTGAATTGGTATTATTTAAAATGCTTATTTTTATTGTTGATAACTTGGTATGGATAGTTAGGCCTATGTTTAAAAAATAAACCTGACAACACCTTTAATTAACCCATCATAGTCTTATTTTCTTAAAAGGAATATATATATATATAGAATTATTTCCCCTATCCATTTCATTTTCAGAATGAATTTAAGAGTTTTAGATCAACTGCAATTAAATAGATGCAGTGGTTTTGTAACCTACATGCTTTTTTTTTTAAAGGGATGTACCGTATATTTCCGAATATAATGCGCACCCGTGGATAATGCGCACCTATATGCGTATATACGGTATACTAAATGGTACTACTGACCAGTGGGGGCCGAGCCTCTTAGACTAGGGATATAAATAGGGGGCAGACTGACTATATGAGAAGGATAGCTGTCAAGGTAGATTTCAAAACGGTTCAGCTTTGTAGAAGCGCTCCAGGCGCAAGCCTCCCATTGAGTATCTAAGAGGGTTCTCTCCAAAGAAGTTCTTTTGGAAAAGAGAATAGATTTGGTTCATTCTGACACTAATTTAGGGCAAATTAAGTTGTTAGATGTGACATGAAGGTACAATGTGTCTCCCCACCACTGTTGCTGTCCTAGAAAAGTAAAACTTGAAACATTTTATATCGTGCCTTGCTGTTAACCAGTGTAAAAGACTGTTCTCGTTCTGTTCTGTTCCTACATCACTGGCGGTTTGTAACGGTCCTGTTAGGTGATAAGTTAGATGTTGTCCTAAGAGTTAAGTTAAAATATAGTTACCTCCCTATAATCAGAAATATTCATAGACATACTATTAATAACTGATTCTTCTCGCGGGGACTCTAAAATCCAGATTTTAATCCAGTAATCTAATTAATACAGTAATCTGATAAAAATTAAATCCGCTTATAGTCATTGACCAATCAGATGTTCATCAAGCTGATACATGGCAGAAGCTACAAAGGTTTTAAGCTTCCATGGGCCTATATGATCCATGCATGGGGTAGGCTAAATATGACGGGCATTTCAACTTGTAATAAAGATAATGATAATTTGATGATAGATGTGTATTATATTATATTTTATTATATCACCCCTTATCTCAGTGGTATTTATCATCTGTAAATATATAGGCCTAGTCTGGTAGGATGAAACAGTGCTACCTTCGCCAGGTTCGCCAGCAGATACACCACACAGGAATTATTTTAAAAGTATGACAGAAAAAATCCTTTCTTTTATGTCATGGAATCCGAAAAATACTAGTATGTGACCACTGACCGAAACATATAGTTTGTCCTCATCTCGCCTGCGGGATTTTCAGCATTATTTTCCTTCTTTACTTAACATTTTTTTTTATAAAGAATGGGCTAAACTCAATTTGAAAGTTTCTAATACAGATTCAGTGGTCACATCAATATCAATGATCACACCTAGTTTCATTTAAATAAGATAAAAACTATAGTCCCTATTGAGCTTACAAGAAATACAGACTGACGGAAAATATTGCGACGGCAATATACGTCCACATTTCCACGTGGGCGTATAAAAATACACAATATTTTTAGTAAATGACATTTAATATATAACTAATTCAGTTTCCAGTTCATTATTCATTTATTAACATCTTCTTTGATTGTGATAAAAATATAGTAGCACATAAAATAAATATAATTAAACCTACTTCCTTTATAAATCTATTTATTTTAATCAAGAAAAAGAAAGCCGTATACCAGAACATGTGGCGTGGGTGTACATCTAAGGGTAACATTTCAAAGGTTGAAGTCTGGAAATAAACTTGTCGATGTTCTAGTCTGGGAGGCACGAAAGGTGGGCTGTTGTTCATAAAACTGTACAATGTTCATATTGTTGATGGATTTCTGTCTTAAAAGTGAAGCGGATGGGCGAAGTTGATTAAAAACCTTGGAGAGCACAATCTATATACAAGTTAAGATCATTTGATGGTTGGTGATTAAAAATGACACCTGCGACAGTTCTGTGGTCCCTACGTGGTCTCTCCACCTAATTATACCAAGAAACACCATTGTCTTCCTGAACTGATTCAACTAATAAATGTGTGCATACATGTACTTGAATTTTCTCCCAATATAATTATCAATAAGCACCAAGTTACCGAAAACCAATCCAACAATAACATGCATACCTAGGCCTTCTTTCCTAATAAAACAATCATTTATATTTTTATATAATCGTGTACTTGACAAGACAAGTCAGTATGCCAGAGTAAAGTGTGTCGCTAGGTTTATAGCGCCAATTGAAATGTTAAAATAGATTATAACTACCTACAATGGTGATAAATATAACCCCAGTTCTACTGTTCTTACATTGTGTGAACTCTTACATCTTCACAATGACAAGCTATTACAAACTGCGTCTAATACATTGATTGCAATAGCCATGCACCTTTCATGTCCCGCGGAAGTTTGTAAAAGCAGTAATTTGAATGGCTTGTAACTTAGTGGATACAGCCAATCAGAGCTTCGGCAGAAAGAGAGTAAACGCGTGCTATGATTGGCAGTTCGTAATATCTTGGCATTGTGAAGATGGGACTCTTAATACTATGATATACATGTACTAGTTCTATTATATAATTATCACAAGTTCAAGGTTACTTGTCTGTTTGATGTTCCGAAAAGATCTAGGATGATCAGGCAATAATCACATTGCCCCTTGTTACCGTAACTTGCCAAAGAGTAACCATCATACAGAAAGAACGGTATCCTAACAAGTTCCAGATCTGCGTTTTAATACACATTTTTAGAAGGGTTACAATTAGTGTGATCCTATTATACCTAATCAGATCTCGAGGTTAGTCGCGACAATCGTGTTAATATAGATGCTTTTAGAAAAGTTTCTTCGATCAACACGACCTAATATTGTCCATAGCCACCATCATGCCAGACCGTGTCGTAACGAAGCTCGACGGATCGGATGTAATTGTGCTGCCAAATCGAGGTGATCGGGGTCGACCTCAGACAAGACAAATGGCAGATTCCCACTGTCGTGCGATCTGTTTCGAACGCATCCATTGACTATTCGAAGCCGATCTCAGGTTTGGATACGAGTCATACGTTCTGATACGGCTGGCGCTAGTATGCGATCTGTTCACTTTCACTGTCAATTCCAGGTGTCACGATCAGATTTTACGTACCGACTCGTATCACAAACCTGAGATTTTAAAGAAATTCAAAGATAAGCTGCAAATTGTCAACAGAGGCGCTACAGTAGACTACACTGATGTGGGAATGAAACATGTCATATTCTGACAATTTAGCAACACTCTACCAACTGGCATATACATGATATTTCTTTGATGTCCAACATTTCTAGATCTCTAACTACTCTTGATAAAAACCGATAACATAAAGAAAGGGGAAATAATCCAAGAGATTTAAACGTATATTAATCATTTTAATATCCAGGTATATCCGACATATTGAAGATTGCAGATAAATAGATGGGAAATACTTTGTTTTAATGTAATTAATGCCCGTCGTATGAATGGGGTCAAATGAAGTTCAAAATACCTCAGTTGCTGCACAATTTGAATGGTCAAGTTAGCGAACAATTGGTCAATCCACGTGGACCTTTCTGTCAATTGTTTGAAACATCAATCATGACGTCTGTGAACTTTTTTATTCGGTTTAACCCATTATCTATTATGAAATTAATCATATATTCTAAAAGCATCTAAAGGAACTGATTGTTTCTTTGGGGTGTCATTTACTCGATGAACGAAGACGCTTACAAGTACGAAGGCTTATTGCACTTGCACATGCCAAATTAATTATTATTCTATAGCCTACCTCTGAAATAACACCCAATCCAGTATTATTATAAAGAGATATGTATTAGAATTATTAGCCTTTTAGTAAAAGATAGAACAACGGTTGCTGACTGCTGCAGGTTTAACAAATTGTATTTTTAAAAGCTAATAATACTGGATTGGTCGCACCAATCTTGTATGATTCTAATACATATCTCTTTATAAAAGCTAATAATACTAGATTGGGTGCACCAATCTTGTATGATTCTAATACATATCTCTTTATAAAAGCTAATAATACTAGATTGGGTGCACCAATCTTGTATGATTCTAATACATATCTCTTTATAAAAGCTAATAATACTAGATTGGGTGCACCAATCTTGTATGATTCTAATACATATCTCTTTATAAAAGCTAATAATACTAGATTGGGTGCACCAATCTTGTATGATTCTAATACATATCTCTTTATAAAAGCTAATAATACTGGATTGAGTGTTAATAATGATCACTTTATTAGGATAAGAAAATTAGGCTAAAAAGCTTTTCTTGCATATGCCGCAGTTCGAGCGTCTAGTGACCTTGGATTCGTTATTCATCATTCCTCATAATTCCAGTCGGAACAGAACGTAAGATTGACATGGTTGATAATAAACAAGTTTCTATCTATTGTCTTTAAATGTATTTTTAATAGTAACCTTTGGGAACTGTAAACGTAAACATTGATCCAGAATAAGGCTAATCCAGCACGTGCCACCCAATTACGTGTAGTTTACTTTCCTTGACCCTTTCATGATATCCGTTTTAAACATAATTTGGAATCATTATAAATGACAAAGCATGAAAATGTTCACAAATTAAAATATCACAGGTTTATAATGTCGTGTCTTTCAGATTTAAGAATAAAATCCTGTCAATCGTGGGTAGATCCTACACGTTCTGTCGACTAAATGTTTTGTTTTGACTTTGTCACTCACATATTAGAACTTGATAGGTCGATTTTATCGTGACAGAAAATTTACCTGTGTGAAGTTCCTGCGTGCTACAAGCTGTTATGTCGTTTCTCCATCGCATCATCGTGACGGACTGACGCGTTTCACTGTCTTATCTGACAAACTGACCCGTTTGACTCTCATATCTGACGGACTAACGTGTTATTAAATGTATCTGACGTACTAAATTGTTTCACTCTCGCGTCCCGAACTGGCGCGTTTTACTGTCATGTCCGACAAACAAACGTTTTTCACCATCCTGTCTGACGAATTGACGTGTTACACAGTCATGTCTTACGAATTTTCGAGTTAGTGTGTCATGTCTGACGAAATACCGCGTTAAAATCCCGTGTCGTGTTTCACTGTTGTGTCTGACAAACTGACGCGTTTTACTGTCTTGTCTGACGAACTGACGCGTTTTAATATCGTGTCTGCTGAACTGGCGCGTTTCACTGTCGTGTCTGACGAACTGACGCGTTTCACTATCGTATCGTGTCTGACGAACTGGTGTGTTTTAATGTTTCTTTCGTGTGTGACAAACGTCTCACTTAGTTCCGCTGCTCTGTCCACGTGTTTTAATGTCTTATGTTTTCGAGTATCCACTAGGTATCCTAAACTCTCCAGAAAAGGAAACTAAAATTTGGATGCTATTTTCCGAATCTTTAATGGCTTCTCCTGTGCCCAGAAAATTTTTAAATAGACCGTACTATGTAGTGTGAGTCAGCAGGTTAAAGGTTTATTTTAAGATATTTCGTTAACATGTAGAGGAATGTTGCGTGCATGTTTCTTATTTTGAATTCCATGAACCGGAATTACATTGTTTAGATCTCTCTATTTCATCTGTAGTTGGTTTGACAATGGTATTGCCCGGTGATTAATCCAAGGCGTTGATGTGTAGGGTGATATGAGATCAAGAACAATATTATTTCTGGACTGTTTTTACCCAAGTTTTTAGAGTATCTTTTACTTTAAAGACATATTGCATTACTAATTAGCCCAAATTTACCAAATTATTCTGTCTTAGTTTTATCTCCTTCTTTACACCACATTACATCTATATCCCACAGAAAGTTTAGTTTACTTTTAGTTCTAGTAATTAGATTGATTTTTTTACAACACCAATTTGTGAAATACTCCTGTAATGTATCGACTTCTCTAAGAAGCTGTGATTTTAACCTCGACAAACATCTATTTGATTATTCAGATAGAAACAGCCTTTCTATCTAGCATCACAATTTCTTTTGTTCTTGTATCGTTTTCAAGATATGAAAAAAGTAAAATTGTATTTAATTCCTTTTGTGTACATGGATTATGCGTATGATTCTAAACTTTTTGAGATTTCTAATCCTCCGCACTAAGTGAATGTGGATTTAGTACCTATGTTACATGCATTGAATAATAATAATAATGATCTTTATTAACAGTATTTAGGTCTACGACCCATATATACATATATCAATAAAGTGCAATATTATAATGTGTGATGATGTTACATGCATTCTCGTTGTATGACGTTATACACACCTATACTTGAAACAGTGCCTATAACGACAGCTCCTTTAAGTGGATGATAACGAGTTTTCATTATATTTTATTGCCTGGGTTGTTATCTGTATGCCTCTTTAAACAATCGAATAGTTTAGTTTAGTTGAGATGTTTGAGATTCCGATGTATCAACTAACATGATAAGATTATATAGATAACAATCTATCTTACATCCTTCTTCTTCTCGGCTGAAATCTGGTCCCCACTCCGCTTCTCAAAGGAGAAAATATTGAAATGTTGGTGTGATATAGTATATATAAGAAAATCACCAGTTTTCCATAATTTCTGCTGATAAATGAATAAGAGCGCCGCCGTTAGACCCTAATTAGAAATAAAAAAATTGATAAAAAAGGAACGATCATTTTATTATATCGCAGCCAGGTCCATCCACGTCCATATCGTCAGATTTGATTTCTCGCCTTATAGGGGCTAACGTGTTCTAAGCCCAGTTCCTCACCTTCAAAGGTTTTCAAACGGTTGGAAATTGAAGACCCTATCTGATTGCACACTGCAAACTTGCATGTCTCCATTACAGCATAAATGAATGAGAAAAAACTTCATGTCGTATCACCGCATCGCTTATATATCATACGTATATAGAACAGAATGATTAAATGAAAATCTACTGACAGAAACATGTTGGACATATTGTATAAATTTCATAGAGAATTTTATATATTACCACCCGGTCTTATTTGTAGACGAGAGAAAAATATGTGAAATTTCACCGTTTTGATTGTGTTTTAATCCTGGCCGTAGCCCCTCCTCTATGACGTTTAGACCACGCCTACTCTGTCTAGCCCTATCTGTATTCTAAGTTGGTTATTGATGAAATTTCTGTATATATACATTCTACAATATCTAAATACTCTAGATTGTACCTCTTTCTATATATTCTTACTTTAACTATAAATCTCTCAATTTCTTATAAACTTTATCAAGTGTGTCGTCTAACTTGTGTTATTTTTTCTATTTTTAAGAAGTTATTTTAAAGTTTATATGTAATCATTTTAAGTGGAATTTTTGAAAACTTTTTCCAGGCATAATATGTGAAATATATTATATTTAAATCCAACTTTTATTAAAATGTTTCCGTTTAATGGACAGTTATCGACAATATCCATGTTATTGTGGTATTTGGAATTAGTCAGTTCGGACAGAAGACATATACTACGGCGGACGCAATACGGGAAAGTGTCCGGTGAGGTAGAGACTCTCTCGGATAATAAGCGAATAGAAAAATACCTGGGAATTCCCTACGCCAAACCACCTGTTGGTGATCTGAGATTTGAGGTAAGCGAGTTATTATTCATGTAACTCGACAATCTTTGATAAAGTTAAGCCTTACTAACTTTTACTCTAATTTTGATTAATAAACATTTTTCTCTGTGACCTTGTACCATGCTTACAGAGATAGCAGATATGATATTTTTAACTTTACAAAAAGAAAGACGATATAAATTAAGCACAAAAATTCATTATTTACATAGGAGTCTTCATGTATTAAAATTTGATACGACATTTGTCACGTCATAAACCCCGAAAAACAGTACCTACCTGCAGCAAGTTTTTGAAGCAAAATTCTGTAACTCCTGTTATGAAGGACAGGGTGATGCCAAAACTGTAAAGACATTTGTCTTGACATTAAGGTATATTTTTAAAGTCCCCCCCCCCCTCCCGCTTCCTTTACCCTAAACAGTAAAAAAAATATTCAACAGTGACATATTTTATTTCAACGATTATTTTTTTTTAATTCAACTAAAAAGTTTAATTATCATTTGAAATGACGCATCTCTAAGCAATCTGTTCCATGATCAGACTCTAATGGGGAACTTATCCTTAGCGCTATCACAGCTATAGTATTAATAATTTTGCTTCCAAAGGATGACCCAGTGACAACTTTCAACCTCTATCTATGAATTGCAAAATGTGCCGATCTGTTTTGGATTCAAGCCGGCGATCGTGTTTATGATTTCAGTTCATTTTATTTGATAAAAGTAACGTTTTATCTTTGATCTGTTTCATAATAAATTTCAAAAGAACTTTAAACAGACTTGCAAGTGCAGAAACCCATATGTTTGTTTGTATTTGCAGTACAGGCATCGGTTATAAAATGATTTCTTTACCCATATCCTTCAGAAGCTGTGATACACTAACATCTGCTTGGTTCATTCCTGTATCAGATTCATTGATCATTTTATTAATTGTCTTTCAATTTCAATATGTTCCTCGTCTGTGCACTCTTAATATCTGATATTCATAATGAAAGTACCAAACTTGAAAATTCAGAAGAAGAATTAGATGATATTGATAGTCCAGGATAGAAGTATCCTTCCTCATTGATAGTCCAGAATAGAAGTATCATTCCTCATTGATAGTCCAGAATAGAAGTATCATTCCTCAATGATAGTCCAGAATAGAAGTATCATTCCTCATTGATAGTCCAGAATAGAAGTATCATTCCTCAATGATAGTCCAGAATAGAAGTATCATTCCTCAATGATAGTCCAGAATAGAAGTATCATTCCTCATTGATAGTCCAGAATAGAAGTATCATTCCTCATTGATAGTCCAGAATAGAAGTATCATTCCTCAATGATAGTCCAGAATAGAAGTATCATTCCTCATTGATAGTCCAGAATAGAAGTATCATTCCTCATTGATAGTCCAGAATAGAAGTATCATTCCTCAATGATAGTCCAGAATAGAAGTATCATTCCTCATTGATAGTCCAGAATAGAAGTATCATTCCTCATTGATAGTCCAGAATAGAAGTATTATCCCTCATTGATAGTCCAGAATAGAAGTATCATTCCTCAATGATAGTCCAGAATAGAAGTATCATCCCTCATTGATAGTCCAGAATAGAAGTATCATCCCTCATTGATAGTATCAATTTTCATTGATAACCCGGAATAGAAGTATCAAACGTTATTGTTAACCTAGAAGAGAAATATCAAACCTCATTGATAGCCCAGAATATAAGTATCAAACCTCATTGATAGCCCAGAAAAGAAGTATCAAACCTCATTGAAAACCCATAATATAAGTATCAAACCTCATTGATAGCCCAGAATAGAAGTATCAAACCTTATTAATAACCCAAAAAGAAGTATCAAACCTCATTGAAAACCCAGAATATAAGTATCAAACCTCATTGATAACCCGGAAGGGACTGTGAAACCTCATTCATAACCAGAATATAAGTATCAAATCTCATTGATAACCCGGAAGGGACTGTGAAACCTCATTGATAACCAGATTAGAAGTATCAACTCTCATTGATAGCCCAGAATAGAAGTATCAACCCTCATTGATAGCCCAGAATAGAAGCATCAAACCTCATTGATAGCCCAGAAAAAAGCATCAAACCTCATTGATAACCAGAATATAAGTATCAAACCTCATTGATAGCCAAGAATAGAAGCATCAAACCTCATTGATAGCCCAGAATGGAAGCATCAAACCTCATTGATAACCCGAATATAAGTATCAAACCTCATTGATAGCCAAGAATAGAAGTATCAACCCCCCTTGATAGCCAGAATGGAAGTATTAACCCCCATTGATAGCCCAGAATATAAGTATCAGCCTTCATTGATAACACAGAAAACAATTTCAAACTTCATTGATAATCCAGAATAGAAGTATCAAACCTTATAGATAACCCCAAAAAAGAAGTATCAAACCTCATTGATAGCCCGGAATGGAGTGATAACCATAATAGAAGTATAAACTCTCATTGATAGCCCAGAATGGAAGTATCAACCCTCATTGATAACCCAGAAAAGAAATATAAACCCTCATTGATAACCCAGAAAAGAAGTATCAAACTTCATTGATAACCAAGTATATAAGTATCAAACCTTATTGATAACCCAGAATAGAAGTATCAAACGTTATTGATAATAATAAGAATAAAGGTATGAAAGTTATTCATTACTTAAAGTATATAATCTTATAACCCGAACACATGTAACAAACTTTAGTGTAAACCCAAATTAAAAAAAGTACCTGATAACCTTGAACGACAGCTCATACTAACATGAACCAAAAAGTAGCCTTAAAAAGCAATACATCAGTCTCAAATTTCGAATACCTAAGAAATTTAACACAGTTTTAAATAAATATGCGATGATGATAAAGCCGAAGTTGTTAATTTCATTGTATCCCATGAATAATAATATCACATTACTCACAAAACCATTGCCCACTGCGGTCATTGATATGCAATAGTAAACAATGGGGCTCTTATATGTATATCAGGTCCTTTTGATGTGGGATTATTGTGTCTCTTTATTGAGGTATCAAATAGCTCTGAATATCTCTTACATACTCGTTAGATTACATCTTAGTAGAAAGAATATATTGACAATATTTTTATTTATTTCAAATAAACTACTAGCTGGACACCCACTGTTCTTGGTAGGTGTGAAATGCCTATGTTCAACGAAGTGTAATGGTCTTTCACTTTTCAAAGTCTTACGAATACTGACAGCTAATTACAGCTATGCACAAGCATCCGTATCATGGAGATTTGGCTAAAAAGTGGCAACTATAAATATCGAAGTATAGTATCTTGCCAAATGTATTTCAAACAACAGTACATTTTCTCGGATCATTTTCGATATATTCTTTACTTTTGCCCCTGTTACTCTTACTCTTTGCTAAAATATTGGAATATGGCTTTAAAATGTTTGAAAATCGTTCATGTAGTCTTGCATCATTCAGAGTATACAGTATAAAAATTGAACATGTTAATCAGAATTTTTAATTTCTACAACACAAATAATGGTAATAGTTTTATACAAGTATTTGTTACTGGTATATCTGTCAGTCGGAGGTGGTCTAGACAAAAACTATAAAATAATAGCAGAATTTACATCAAATCAGTAAATATATAGGTGTAATTGGCAGACAGAAGCCCACATCTTTCAATATGTTATGATATAATGTTAGAACTTGACATATTTATAGTCAAACTTGACACCCTAGTTTACATTTCAAATTACATTCTCAATTGATACAGATTTCTGCAATTCTTATTCTGTTATTTTAACACCGTGCCTTCAGTTCCAATACCCAACAATCTAAAATGTCTTAATAATACAATTTGCAGTCAGTTGTTATTTTTACTGTAATAACAAGTCTCATAAATCACGTGATTGGTAAACAAGGCGATGACCTTTTCTATAATGATCTATATAGTGACTCATTTTCGAACAAACCTCATTCCGTGATCTGTAATATGTTCATAAGATTCTTCCTCTTAACCTCTTCTCTAACAAACTTCTGTCTTATTCAAGGGATCAAACCATACCTAGCAAACCTCTTCTGTAAATACTCTCTTCGTCTAACTCTTCCTCTACCATATCTCTTATTTTTAAAAAAACACCCCCTCCCCTTATAAAACCTTTTACTGTAATAAAACTGTCACTCTAAAAAAACCTTCCTCTAACAAACTCTTCGTCTAACAAACCTCTTCCTGTAATAAACTTTTCCCTGTTCCCTTTTCCCCATTATCTATAATTCCCATTCCTCTAACAAACCTCTCCTCTTTCTGTAATAAATCTCTTCTTCTACAAAACCTCTTCCTATTACTAGTCTCTATGTCTACCAAATCTTTTCTTCTAACAAACCCTTCTATTATAAGGCCTTTCATCTACCAAACCCCTTTCTGTATTAGGACTCTTCCTCTTGGAAACCTCTTCCTGTAATAACCTCTTCCTCTTCATGGAATATTTATGGAAGATTTTTAAGTCATTGTCCTACGAAACATATAAAATCACGTGTTTTAGTTTAAAAAGCTGTTTTACTCAGAATGACTTGATTGAAATTTGATCTATCAAGCAATTGTTTTCAATTGTAAAATAAACTCATTTGAGACACGACCACCCCAAACTTTATTCCATGATTAAGTTGTTTTAATTTTTAGAACAGTGGGAATGTCAGCTGTTTCTTAAAATTGGGTTTTACAGGTTTAGTTTTTTAGGAGTATATTACATTTAACTTACATACAAGAGCTCACGTACATGCCAATGACCAATTGCCTTGGTTCAAAGCCACTTTCCATTGTAATCAAACTACCGAAATTCTCACGAAAACGTGTTTTTTCGATACAAATGGAAGTATATAACGTGACGTTAAAATGGTCTAGGAAATCCGAATCAAGCACGATCATGGAATTTGATATATTCCAATTTTTCACGTGAAGACTATGCACTTTAAGACAGTTTTATTTCAGAATTTTAAAATATTTTCGTTTAATACAAGTCATGTAGGTCTATTAAGCA